GAGGCTCTAACTGAAATTTGGCCGGAGGATGCTATCAAAGCACATAGGCTCCTGAATGCTATGGACGCCGCCATTTTTGTTTGTGTAATTCCAGCCTTGAGAGCTGTAGTCTTAACCCTTTATAGGGCAAGTTACTGACTTGGATCACTTACACAAAAAGCTAATTGAATAGTTAAAAAGTTAATAAGCCTAGTTAATTATTATATTTAGGTTTATAAACTAAAAGATGTGCCAGTATCAGCATTGATGCCTCTAAGGTTATGTTGGACCAAAAAAATTTTTCTTTCACTCTGAGTGTTTTTCATGAATTTCTGATTGAAAATCTTTTGTTATTTTTGTTAATTTATTCAGGCAAGTTGGTGTTTCTTGTTGTTGTTGACATAAATTTTTGCCATCAAAATATCCAGATTTTTTCAACGTTACAAAGGTAATAAGGTCTTGACCAAGATTCCAATAACACTGTTGGCTTGAAATTTGGCACTAGGTGCCCTATAAGGATCGCCGACAGGAGGCGAGGAACCATACTAGCCTGTTGTGTAAACGGTCGTAAGAACCAAGCTTGGCACGGTTAACTGATCCAAGCTCGGATCGGTTTCAGGGTGGAAATGGGACAATTGTTAGTTTCTCAGGGCTGCAACAGATAGACAGCTTCAGGGTCCCTGACAGCAGCAATGACTCCACTATCCACTCATTAACAGGGCTTAAAGTTTAGCATGTTAAAAAACAGAAGCTGGAACAGCATGAGGCAAACTGGGCAGACTTTGTTATTAATCAAGCCAGATTTAACCCCCCCCCTGTTCAAGCTTTAAAAAAAAAAAGTCCTTTTCCGACTAAAATGTAGAAAAAAGGCAGCTGTTGTGCATCTAACATGGACCAACACAAACATAGCTACTCCTAATTTCTGCAGGACTGATTCTTGGATCGCAATGATTACATTCCTGTTCTCAAAGGCAAGTAACTTAATTAGGTTTCCTTTTATTTCTGTCATTAAATGAAGCGCTGTCTGGGTCCTAAGGAAAGAAAATCCCTCAGCTAATTCTGCTGAGTCATTTAAAAAATAAAAAAGGAAATGAAAAACAATCTACTAGACTTTGCGAAGTGAAGTTTGAAGATGTTTCGCTTCCCATCCAGGAAGTTTTTTAAATTCAAATGGCAGTGTATTGCGTACTTGCTCTACACCGAGCAGCTCATTAGCTTAGCATCATTAGCCAGTCTCTTGCAAAATACAGGCTGTTTCTCAATTCACTACAACGAGTACGGACTCGTATCTTCACCAAGTGTGTTCTTGAGAAGAACACAGGAAAGTCCGGACTCTGGGAGAACGGGAGCACGCAGCATAAATATGGATCAATTGGATGAGAAGCGTACTGATGACATCACCACGCATTATAATAAATTATGACTTTTTCATTGAGTGAGTGAATCATAATGAACACAGTCAGATAAACACAAATCAAATTAACATTTTGCCAAATAAAACAAAAAACCTCCATCAGAGCCAGCAGTACTTCACACACGGCTACAGAGAGACCGCTGCTGCAGACGGGCTAACGTGGTTATGGTTAGCCTCGGAGGTCCGCTAGTTTCCACAATCCTCTCAACATCTCAGCTTTTTAAAAAAATTTTTATTATGCAATAAATCAGTAAATGGGCCATATAGTAACGCTTAAAAATATAACGTTCTCACCTCAAATGATCTTAAAATGTACTTTTATTGAACAACGGCAACAGAAAAGAGAACTTAACTTAATACTCCGAGCTCTGTGAGCGCTAGCCTGGAAGCTAATGCTGCCACAGTGCATGCTGGGACAGCTGTCAAGTCTGGAAAATGGACAAGTCTGCTCTGATGCATGCTGGGTAAAGAGGGAGGGGGCAGAACAACATACGGGGACTTTGTCCGTTCTCTGTCTTCTTGTTCTTAAGAATTGAACAGTACTAGGGCTGAGGCTGATGACGTTTCATGAGAACGCACAACGTACACAGATTGAGAAACGGCCTTCGTCTCATGACACCTGCCTCCAATCCAGGTAACTGTAGGGATTCACATCAGCTTTCATGCAACTGTTTGTTTAAACTTGCTCATCCAGAGTCCGGGGTGGCAGGACT